TCCCAGTAGTTGCCCCACAGCCTGGCATATGGTCACAGTCACTCTTTAGCTCAATGAACAGACCAGGGGTATTCTCTTTTTGTTTTTTTTACTTTTGGGTAACTTGGATAGGGATAGGAAATTGAGCTGGATTCTGGATTCTCCAAAACTGTACAAATAGGAGGACATTATCTTTTCTGTAGAAATATGAACCACGTCCTTGCACAGTTAAAGGGTCGACTAAGTGCAGTAACTTGAGGAGATTAATATTCCTTTCTGGACAGTCCAAGTAAAGTCCTTTCACTAGGAATTAAATGGGCTGAGCTCTACAGGCCTACAGGACACTGAAGACTACGTCTCCTTTACATGCAGCTGACTCTTTAAAAACAGAAGGGTGCTAACATCACACAGTCTTTAGGTTCTCTAACAACTGTCTGTACTCAAAAATGTCTTAAGGAGATTGACTGCCTCCTTCTAATGGCTTCCAGACACTTTCTCCCTCTGATAGCAGACTGAATCTACAGACGACAGGCCTCTCAGCCAGCTTCAATAACTTCCAGCAAAACCCAGCCCCCCAACTCATCCAGCTGGGACAGAGATGAACAGCATACACATGGCAGGTGACTTGGGGGACAATTAGTTCCCCCCCCCAGGTTGTGATCTCCTCTACAGGGACAAGACAATTCTGTTCCAGATCTCAAACTATTTATACACTTTCCCAGCAACCATCTGTGCACTCTCCCACAGGGATTGGCTGAGACAGTATAAATATTCATGCTGCCCATTTGACAGCTGCCCATTTGACAGACAGTTCTAGATTTCAGGAGGCGTAATCAAACCTGCAACCTGTGAAACACAGGACAGACCCAAACAATCACAAACAGCCACATGGATAACAGTGAGATAAAACTAAATTTGCTTTACAACAAAATGCAGCTCCACTGGATACAGGGAGCTTGAACTACATTGACCTAATCCTAGCACCTATCTAGAAGGGAGCTACATAGAGTATGGGGTTAAAAGTATCATTTCATTGTTTGACGATGACACAGTGTTTGTAGTGGAATAATGTGCTTACCAGGGGTGGACTGACAACTCATGGGGCCCCCGGGAAATAGGGGATCATGGGGCTCCTGTGTCCTCGCCCACACTCAAACCACACCCAACAAAAGCCTATGAAAGGTACCAAGGGCATCTCATGGGGCCCCCTACTGACCCCGGGCCCTCAGGCAGTGCCCGAGTTCCCAAATGGTCAGTCCGCCCCTGGTCCTTATAAGATGTCTCAAACTTAGAGTGTTACTGAATTCAGGATCCTGCATTCACTATATCTGGTCTCCCACAGTACACACTACATGGAAATGCAATTATTTTAGTAAATATAAACTGCTAAATACTTTTTCCCATCAGCAGTTAGAGCGGTCTTGTGACTTCTATCAGTGTCCAGCACAGCACATGTTAAAACTTGTAGGAGGAGTTTTCTTTCTGCTCTAGGACGATAAAAAACCCCTGACCTCTGTCTGGACAGTGCTGCTTGGCCCTGTGCTGATCAAATGCACTCTCCCAAGAAAAAAAAACAAAACCTCTCTAGCAATACATACTAAACTGAGCATGTGCAGAGTGTCTCCATGGGATATGTCTTATCAGGAGATAAGAGGGAGACACTGAAAGAAGGGGAAGATCAGAGACGACAACAGGATCAAACAGTATTTTTAAACAATGCAGAGGATTAACCCCTTAGGTTCCACAGTGAGTATAACAAGCATGCTTTCCTGCATATTCAGACTGATTTTACTGTTGTGGGTTTAGTAACACTTTAACTGGGGATCTTTGTGGCAAATTAGGTTTAATGTTGATAAATGTAAAGTTATGCACTTGGGGGCTAAACACATGCATGCATCATATATACTAGGAGGACTACAGCTGGGGAGCCCCTCATGGCCACATTTTTTAAAAAGAGTGACAGCCAGTGGGGGGAGAAGATCCCCCGCTAGCTGTCACTAGATACATCAGAATGGGCAGCGACACTGGTAGTGGGAACATGTTACATTTTGTACTTAAAAAATGGGTGGAACATGTAACATGTTCTCAAAGGTGAAATTAACCTTTCATTTTTAACAAGTAATAACAAAAAATAGACATAAAAATACATTTATAAGCCTGGATATTTAAAGAAGCTTTTTAAAATGACCTTTCTAAGCATATTTTTATTTTTTATTCTGATGTCATAGTTTACAATTGCAGTAAAGATATTTTCCTGTTGATTTTATGGTGTTGGAAAATGGTACTGGAGGATGAAAATGTGTGTAAATAGAATTTCAGCAGAAAAAAGAGGCTTTAGTCACTTGTCATGGGACTCTTTGGATTTTAAAATAATTCCATTACATATTCAGGTTTTGTAAGGACAAATATTTTCAAATGCATTCCCTGTGGTTTTTTCCTTCTTCCCTGCAGGAAGATAAGTGAAATTTCACTATCTGACCCACAGCACTAAAATAAATATTGCCGTAAACCCACTATATTTCCATCATTGCATTCTGAGAGTTAGCAATCTGGCTGCTGGCAATCACTGTTTTATTTCTGCTGAGGGGAGCATGTGTCACTTTTCATTATTTCATGTTGTTCATACACATGCATACTGTATGTTGGTTTTACTTTGTAACATGTGGATACTGGTATTTAAAAAAAAATGCTACATATATGTAAAATGTTTTATATGGTTTAGGATTGCTGTCATTTTTGTCTTTAACCACTTGACCTCCAGAGAATTTACCCCCCTTAATGACCAGGCCTCTTTTTGCTACTCGGCGCTGCACTAATTCAACTGATAATTGCGCGTTCATGCAATGCTGCACCCAAACGAAATTTACGTCCTTTTTTTCACACAAATAGAGCTTTCTTTCGGTGGTATTTGATCACCTGTGTGCTTTTTATTTTTCACGCTATAAACAAAAAAAAAGGCCAAAAATTTTGAAGAAAAACAATATTTTTTACTGTTGGCTATAAAAAATATATAGTAAACTCAAAGTTAGTTATAAATGAGGCCAAAATGTATTCTGCTACATGTTTTTGGTAAAAAAAAATCCCAATAAGTGTATATTGATTGCTTTGTGTGAAAGTTATAGCATCTACAAACTATGGTATAGATACTGCAATTTACGCCATTTTTTTGCTATACAGCGCTGTGCTAGTTTAACAGACAATTGCGCGGTCATGCAATATGGTACATAAATGAAATTTACATCCTTTTTTTTCCCCACAAATTGAGCTTTCTTTTGGTGGTATTTGATCGCCTGTGCGGTTTTTATTTTTTGGGCTATAAAAAAAAAGGCTACAATTTTGAGGAAAAAAAACAATATTTTGGACTTTTTGCTATAAAACATGTCCAGTAAAAAAAAAAATCTAATTTAGTCATAAATTTCTGCCAAAATGCATTCTGTGACATGTCTTTGCTAAAAAAAAACCCAATACATGTAAATTAATTGGTTTACGTGAAAGTTATAGCGTTTACAAATGGCGGGAAAGATACTGGGATTTTTAGGTTTTTTTTATACTAATAATGGCGGCGATCAGTGACTTATGGCGGCAGGACTGCGATGGACATTTTGACATTGGGGGGTACTAACTTGGGGTCACTGACATCCCCAGTGACACCAATACAGTGATCAGTGCAAAAAAAAAACACTGACACTGTACTAATGGCACTGGGGAGGAAGGGGTTAAGTTTATTTTTCAGGGAAAGGGTTAACTGTGTGAGGGGAGTGTTTTACTAGGGGGTGTGTACAGGACAGGATCGGGAGAGAGAAACTCTTCTGTCCCGATCAGCTTGTCCTGGAGCTGTCAGGGAACTGACAGAAAGCACAGCTACTGCAGCTGTGCTCTCTGTCAGCGATTGCCGCCGATCGCCGGGACATAGCCGGTAACGACCGGCTGTGACCCGGCGACTGACATCCGCAGCTGTGATCGGCGGGACAGGCAGGGCGGCGGTGCGCCTCGCGCGCACTCCCTACCTGTTTACAAAACACACATTTTAAAAGGTGGTTTTGCCCAGCCGTGCCGTCCTGCCACCGTATTTATACAGTGGCTGGGCGGCATGTGGTTAAGCCCTCATGCACACTGGACTTTTTGATAATGTAGGTAACGTTAGCTGTGTAAAGTCACATTAAAAACTTGAGTTTTTCAGCTTTTTTTTAGCATTTTTGCAATAACGTTTTGTCATTTTTGATTTTTGTTGTTTCCAGCTGAAGTTCTCTTTAGGGATGGATGGAGCAGACTTCATTTCAGTCAGGCAGTTGGTGTTTGCATGATTGCCTACTACAATCACCTTCACTGACTTCTTGGCATATTTGTCAAGTGTTGCACTCAATGGCGTTTTCCCGCATTTGCATTTTTTAAAATTTTTTTAACAAAAAAAATAAAATGTTTTGGTCAAAAAAGTCCAAAAATGCTGGTTTGTGGTGTTTTGCCACATTTTTCAGTGTTAGATCGTTCTTACAGCTAAATAACTCCTCTAGAAACACACTAGTCCTGTTTTTTTTTTTCCAGCCAAAAAGCGTCCCAGCCAAAAAACATTGATTACAGCCTATGTGTGCATGGGCACATAGGATAACATGCTGGGAAGTTTACTGGCTTCAGAAAAAAACGCCAAAAGCCAAAAACAGCAGCTGTAAAAATGTCAAGTGTGCATGAGGACTAAATCTACACATCCTACTGATAACAACCAGAGATCCCTATATATATATATATATATATATACTGTATACCGTATTTTTTGCACCATAAGACGCACTTTTTTTCCCCCCAAAAAAGAGGGGGAAAATATCAGTGCGTCTTATGGAGCGAATATGGAGCGGCCGGTCCCGTATTTCCACCGCTGCCATGTCAGAATACCAGGCCAGCCGCTCAGCTCTGCAGCAGGACCTTACCTGTCCCTCGGTCCAGCGCTGCGCAGTCTTCCCGCGCCGGCTTCTTTAGTGTGGGATCTCGGCTTGACAGCCAGGTGCCCAGTGCGCATGCGCGAGAAGCGCTGCACTTTGTGAATGGTACAGCGTCTTCTGGGACACATGACAGGTCGCATGCATGCGCACTGGGTACCCGGTTGTTAGCCGGGTGCCCACACTAAAGGGAGGACAACTCCGTGGAAGTGGGAGCATTTACCTGTCAAATTCAGGTACCCACTCCCCCTCCCTCCCCAAAGGTCAGCAGTCATCTCCTGTACTGTCTGCAGTCTCTGGTCATCTCCTGTACTGTCTGCAGTCTCTGGTCATCTCCTGTACTGTCTGCAGTCTCTGGTCATCTCCTGTACTGCAGTCTCTGTCATGCAGTCTCAGTCTCTGGTCATCTCCTGCACTGTCCGCAGTCTCTGGTCATCTCCTGCACTGTCCGCAGTCTCTGGTCATCTCCTGCACTGTCCGCAGTCTCTGGTCATCTCCTGCACTGTCCGCAGTCTCTGGTCATCTCCTGTACTGTCTGCAGTCTCTGGTCATCTCCTGTACTGTGTCCGCAGTCTCTGGTCATCTCCTGTACTGTGTCCGCAGTCTCTGGTCATCTCCTGTACTGTGTCCGCAGTCTCTGGTCATCTCCTGTACTGTGTCCGCAGTCTCTGGTCATCTCCTGTACTGTATCCGCAGTCTCTGGTCATCTCCTGTACTATGTCCGCAGTCTCTGGTCATCTCCTGTACTGTGTCTGCAGTCTCTGGTCATCTCCTGTACTGTGTCTGCAGTCTCTGGTCATCTCCTGTACTGTGTCTGCAGTCTCTGGTCATCTCCTGTACTGTGTCCGCAGTCTCTGGTCATCTCCTGTACTATGTCAGCAGTCTCAGGTCATTCCCTGTACTATGTCCGCAGTCTCTGGTCATCTCCTGTACTGTGTCTGCAGTCTCTGGTCATCTCCTGTACTATGTCTGCAGTCCATTGATTCAGAATATTTTTTTTCTTGTTTTCTGCCTCTAAAACCTAGGTGTGTCTTATGGTCAGGTGTGTCTTATGGAGCGAAAAATACGGTATATATATATATATATATATATATATATATATATATATATATATATATATATTCGGACCTCAGGATACTCTTCCTTTTGCTAGAAGTCTCGGCTGCCTCAAGGGAAATAACGTAAGGTCAAAAATTGAAGCTTGACGTAAGGTCAAAAATTGAAGCTTGGCTGTATTGTTGCAGTAATTTCCTAGGGAATTACCGCAACAATACATCAAAGCTTCAATTTTTGTTTATACAGTATTGTAAGATTAAATAACATTTTTTATGGTTTTTAAATCTGTTTATCATTATAATTTTGCACCCTGAAAATCCCACACTATATATTATTTGAAGGTTAATGCACTAGGCCAGTGCGCCCTCTGTTTATTTATTGTTACTGCAGTGTTCCTAGACCTCCCCAGTCTTTGTGAGGGCAGCAAGGCCAGTGCACCCCATGAAGGCTAAGTGTTTGACTATAGCCCATTAATGCCGTTGGGCGCACTCCCCAAGTGCAGGAAGATTGAAGTGTCCTATTTCTTTTGTCATATACTGTAGTACGCCCGTGTCAACAAGGCCTAACAACCACAAAAAGTGAAAAAAAAATCTGTAAAATATTTAAGGATTTGATCGAAGCATACAAAAAGGGCAAAAAGGCCTATGGTATGTCTTAGGACTCTCATACACAGTAGCTAGAATCAGGAGGGAGAATCCCAATACAATACACATTTCTAAGTAGTAAAACAGACAACATAGGTTCATTTCTAATATTAGAAAAAAGTATTGTCCTTTGTTACTGAATGATTCTGAAATTAGAAAGGTGGTTTCTGAATTTCCAAGGCTAGTACAGAGAGGCAAATTAACCAATTTCTGTCTGGCCAATAGCAAAATGATGGCACAGTGGGACTCTCGTTGATCCGGGTCATATAACGTGCTCCCAGGATTGTGCCTCATGCATGCTGCGCTATGGCAAGATCTGTCACCGGCTCTGTCCCTCAGACACAGCCGATGACAGATCTGTGTACCAGCCCGTCACAGCAGGTCACATGACAATTGCAAACAATGGATGGCTTCCTTTCATGCCATCCTTTGTATACAATTGTCACTAGCTGCGATTGGTCATAGTAATCACATGGTACGGACTGGGCTAATCACAACCCATTTGTGTCATGTGATTATCTGTGACCAATCACAACAAATAAACCTGAATGAATCTTTTTTTATTTGTGCATGATTATCACAATTGGTTGCAAGCCAATCAACTTCAGCTTGTTCAATTAAAGCGTTACTAAACCCAGCACCCTGCATTCACTATATCTGGTCTCCCACAGTACACTGAACATGGAAATGCAATATCAGCAGTATGTAGCAGTCTTGTGACTTCTATCAGTGTTCAGCTGAGCACTGGTTAAAGCTTGTAGGAGGAGTTTTCATTCTCCTATGAGGCTGCATAACCCCTGACCCTCTGTCTGGACAGTGCTGATTGGCCCTGTGCTGATCACATGCACTCTCCTAAAGAAAAAAAAACACTCTCTAGCAATACATACTAAACTGATTATGTGTAGAGTAACTCCTAGAGTACTGTACTATCAGCAGATGGTTTGGGGACAGTAAAAGAAGGGGAGGATCAGAGAAGTCAGGATCAAACAGCCTTTTTACACAATGTGCATAATTAACTCCTTAGGTTCCACAGTGAGTATAACAAGCATGCTTTACTGCATATACAGACTGATTTTACTGTTGTGGGTTTAGTAACACTTTAAGCTTTGAAAAAAAAAAAACTGGAAGCTGATTGGTTTATTTTACAGAGCTGCACCAGATTTTTCACTTTCCAGTTATAGTAAATCAGCTCCTATGTTTTTATTTTACAGATTATAAAGATTTCATTATTTTTTATTATTAGCACAATGTTGTTATTATTAGCATGCTTAAGGTGATGTAATTAATTCAAATACCATGTTTATGTGGTATAAATGGCTTCTGGCATCACATATGGCTGATGTTAGACATTTCTTTGTGTGTTGTTCTATTTAAAGACAAGTAGGCAAGGACATTATGCCATTTCCCCTGAGGCAAGCAGGACTTTCAACGAAACTGGTTGGGAAAGTGTCCTGAGTTCACTGCCAGGTACCCGTACTGCCACATACTACTGTTGACTATATACACCCTGTTCTAAATTATTATGCAAATTATATTTTTCTCATTTACCTAAATAATTGATGTAAATAACAGTCAGCATAATTCTCTTGTTATCAACTATTAAGAGTACAATTCAAATTTTATTGAACAAACCTCCTAATGATAACAGGATTTTTTTTAAACATAAAAAACTTACAACGCACTGTTCCAAATTATTACGCACAGTAAGTTTCAAAACACTTTATAGGTTGTAAAGAACTGAAAATTGTCACTTGTTGTGTTTGCAGCATATTTACTGAAATCAAAAGCTATTTCAATCAAACGTTTAACAACATTTTAACTTTTTAAACATTTTAACAGGTCACGTTACATTGTAACATAGGACCCCTTATTTGATAGCAGCTTCACAAGTCTTGCATCCATTGAACTTGTGAGTTTTTGGACAGTTTCTGCTTGAATTTGTTTGCAAGATGTCAGAATAGCCTCCCAGAGCTGCTGTTTGGATGTAAACTGCCTCCCACCGTCATAGATCTTTTGCTTGAGGATGCTCCAAAGGTTCTCAATAGGATTGAGGTCAGGGGAGGATGGAGGCCACACCTTGACTTTCTCTCCTTTTATCCCCATAACAGCCATTGATAAAGAGGTATTCTTTGCAGCATGAGATGCTGCATTGTCATGCATGAAGATGATTTTATTACGGAAAGCATAGTTCTTCCTTCTGTACCTGGGAAGAAAGTGGTCAGTCATAAACTCCACATACTTTGCAGAGGTCATCTTTACGCCTTCGGGGACCCTAAAGAGACCGACCAGCTCTGTCCCCATGATTCTGGCCCAAAACATGACTCCACCACTGCCTTGCTGATATTACAGCTTTGCTGGAACAGGGTGGCCGTCCACCAACCATCCACTACTCCATCCATCGGGATCATCCAGGGTTGCACGGCACTCATCAGTGAACAGGACTGTTTGAAAATTAGTCTTCATGTATTTTTCTGCCCAATGCAGCCTTTTCTGCTTGTGAGCATTGGTTATTGGTGGCCGAACAGAAGGTTTATGCACAGTTGCAAGACTCTGGAGGACTCTACACCTTGATGTCCATGGGACTCCAGAGGCACCAGCTGCTTCAAATATCTGTTTGCTGTTTGATGTAATGGTATTTTAGCAGTTGCTCTCTAGATCCGATGCATGGATCTGGCAGAAATCTTCCTCAATGTGCCTTTATCTGCACGAACCCATCTGTGCTCTGAATCAGCCACAAATCTCTAAATAGTGCGATGATCACGCTTAATTTTTCGTGAAATATCTAATGTTCTCATACCTCGTCCAAGGCATTGAACTATTTCACTCTTTTCAGCAGCAGAGAGATCCTTTTTCTTCCCCATATTGCTTGAAAATGGTGCTCTGCTTAATAATGTGGAATACCGTCCTTTAGTAGTTTTTTTTCCTTAAATTGGGCTCACCGGCCAATCTAATTATCACAGGTGTCCGAGATTGTTTTCAGTGATCAAAAGAACCCTGACACACAATGCCATCCATGAGTTAAACTGAAAAACAAAATATTTAATCTTTGTGACACTTAAATAGAATTTGCATAATAATTTGGAACAGCGTGTGGTGGCATGTACACGACAGGGATAGGTAACTGTAACACATTGTGGACATTCCATTATTGGTATATCATGCAGGTTTGGCACCCATGATGGATTGCATGCTTATGATACCTTGAACATGTGCTGTATCAATAGGGGGTCTGTGACACACAGAATACTTGCAAATGGAGTTGTTTGAGTTTTGTTTTACATGTACACCTGAATGACATATTGTATATAAAGATGTACTATTATAATTTTGCATTATATTTCTGTTTATATATATATATATATGATTTATCCCAGACATTCACCACCATAACTGCTTTGATTGACTATATTAAGAGACCCTATGCCAGCTCAGAATCCAAGTACGGATGTTAAATGCATGTACTGTAGGCACCCAGTCCCAAGCCACACTCTTGAGTCAACGCTGTGAGACTATTCTGCTTTGCACTACATAGTATCATGGAACTTTTTATTTTGCTTTTGCTGATTTTATTGCCACTGCTCTGTTTATTATTGAGATAAGAAAAGGCCTGCACAATTGGCAACAATACACTTTAGTGGAACACACCTTATCACTTCAAATGATATACCGTATCTGACTGTATTCAGTGGGACTACATGATGTATGAATTTGAATTCAGTGTGGCCAACATCACCACTCGCAAAACATCTATATAGATGGTGACAGCGCAAAGTATTTTGCCATCAGCAAGTTTTCAGCAATATTCAGTTCTACCATGTCAGCAAGTTACATGTGATCCAGAAGCATTTGGATGCTTTGAAGCACTGTATCTAGGATGTCAGATTATGCACAGAAGACTACACCAGTTTCTGCCATGGTAACGGATTGCAGTGACTGAGGCTACAGCGGGGACAGTGTGGGGCCATACAGCAGAAGAGTAAAGAAGACGAGTGCAGAGTGATGCAGCAACATATCCCCCTGAGGAAGCCACGTGACCTGTGACGTAACGCATAGGGGAGTGGCTAGCTAATGTCACGACGCAACGTGAGATCAGAGGAAGGATACCGGAGGAAAGTGTATTGCTGTTTTGCTGTTTT